TTACACAATAATTAACAGGTGAGACTTATTAATATCATGCCTAGAAGTGATAAGAAAAATTCTACTTGTAGAGATTGTGATTATAAATTTACAAGACCTGCTAAACTTCGTCAGCATTATAAAAGTAATAAAAATCAATGCGGGCTAGATCCTGAAATTATTATTCAAGAGATACAAGCAATAGTAGATATCCCAACTCCAATTTCTGAACCAGAACTACAGAAGAAAAAAAAGAATCAAACCACTAATTTGTCTATAGATGATTTGGTTAGCTAGTTAGCAAAACCAGAGATAAAAAACAACCCAACTATTAGCAACAAAAAAATATCTAAAACAGATGCAGAATGGTTCGATTTAATGGAAAAATACTTTAGTAATAAACAAAAAAAACCAAAATTTCCCAACCAAAGAGGGAAATCCTGATGAGATTGAGAGGCAAGACACGATTCTAGAAAGATCTGCTCAAGAGGATATTCACTTTGAAAAATGTTCAGTTGGAAGGGATCTAGAAAGACCACACGAAAATCAATCTTTAATGAGCAAATAGATAGGAAAAGTTCCTCATCATGGAAACAACCTTATATATACTTTTATTCAACTAATATCAGATCCAGTAGAATATAAAGAAATTTCATACATGCCTCAACTTATGAGACTAATTCGTACGAAAATAACAGAAGTTCTTCAAACAGAGTTTCATAGAAAAGACCAAATAAAATCAGCTATAGTAGCATGGTATTTGTATTTAATTACTAAAAGAGATCGAGATGGCACAAGTTATATATTATTTGTATACATTCATGAAAGAGGGAAGATGTGATATTTACTTTTAACAAATGATATAGATGGGCATATAACCAAATCTGCTGAAGAAATAGATAATCAGATTGAGGAAATATTAAAAAAGGGATCTGAATATATTCTTGAGCAAATTTTTAAAATATCTATTGAGGTATATAAATATCGTCAAGCTATAGGAGGATCTTATATTCCTACTCCAAAGAAGCTAGCTAATAAATACAAAGTGTACTATCAATCCGAATAATTATGTGTTTATAGATTCAGAAACAAATAGACCTTCTGAAAAATGTCTTCAAGGTGCTTTAGGTTGTTATTTTGCTTATCAGGATAGACATACAGATCATCTTGAATGAATCTTTCGAGCTACAAAATATAAACCATATTAGATATGGTCAAGCTCGATAAAATTCTAATGCCTACTCCAATTTGTTCACAAACATTTCAAAAGATTAAGGAGATGAATCCAGATATCTCCATCAGTGTCCGAGAATGGAAAGAAGAATCAGCTATACTAAAATCTGTGATAGCTAGTAAAAACTTTAAAAGGTAACATAAAATTCGTCTATTAACCCTTTCAGATATTACTAAAGATAATGAGACAGATAAGTATGGGCAAAAGAACCACTTTCTCTGGATCTAGCAGATTAATATATGATGATAATGTGCATAAAGAAAAGAAATATTTATGTGATAGATGCACTATAAGCTGACCTTCTGAAAAATCTCTAGAATATCATTTAGAATGGTGTTCAGGAATACATGAAAATGCCTCTCAAAGAGTCGCAATGCCAGTGAAAGGTGTCAATGATTACGAAGAGTTTAAAAATTATGGTCGAATGATCAATGCCTCATGTATTATTATAGCTGATTTAGAGGCTGACAATAAGAAAAGTAATAAGACATATGGTGGAAGTATGATTAACTCGCTAAGTAGAAGGCCAATAGTTTCTGCTATCTAGTCTACTGAATTGACACTGGAGATATATAGGGTTCTTTTCTATAAAGGGGAGAAAATGTTACACAGGAATTCGTTCAAAGAATCGATCAGGAGCTAGTCAAAATCAATGAGATTCTAGCCATCAAACATGAGTGAATTGAGACTGAAGAAGACAAGAAAAGATTTGCTAATGCTATTAGATGTTAGATCTGTAAAGGTAAGTTTGATATAGATATAGATGAAATTGGGCATCTAGAAAACAAAATAACCAGTCTTAAAGAGAAGCTAGAAAAGTTTAAAAAAGGTTTAGCTGAATATAATGGCATCGAAACAACTATTGTTAAGGTGACTAAGGCAATTGCTAGCGAAAAAGCTAAAGCCAATAAGGTTTGAGATTACTGTCATATCACAGGTAAGTTTCATGAATCAGCTCATAGGGATTTTAATCTTAAACTCTAAATATAGGATTGGAAGACTCCAATACCAGTCATCTTCCATAACTTCTGAGGTTATAACTCTCACTTGATATGTGAATCTGTTGGACAATCAGCTAATACTCTTCATATTTAAGTTATAGCTGAAACATTTGAGCGATATAAGTCTATAAAGATAGGTCAGCTTAAATATATCGATAGCATGCAGTTTATGAATAGTAGCTTAGCTAGTTCTACAAAAAATTTAGGTGCTAATCATCCAATAACAAGTCAGCATTTCAAAAAATTAGGCTATATAGATGATCAATTAGCCTTAGTTTTACGTAAGAGAGTCTATCCTTATGACTATATTGATTCGCAAAATAGATTTAATGAAACAGAACTCCCCCATATCACGAATTTCATAGTACTCTTAAAGGTAAGATCTCACAAGATGACTATCAATATGCCCAAAAAGTATGGAAGACATTTGAATGTAAAAATCTAGGTGAGTATCATGATCTCTATCTTAAGACTGACATACTTAGTTTAGCAGATGTCTGGACAGAATTTCGAAAAATGTTTATAGAATATTATGAATTTGATTCCAGTCACTATATTTCTGCCCCATCACTATCCTGGGATGGAATGGTTAAGATAACAGGAGTTAGGATCGAACTTTTCACAGATATGGGTTGTGAGCTAGGAAAATGAGGTTCTGGGACATTTTAACCAAAGTTAAAAATTTTACTTTATATTAATGTTGGATACATTAGCTTTAATTAGTTAAATTTTTATAGCATATTAACATAATATTG